AGACTGTGTCAACAACTCTGTTGACCTCTCTCAACTCAAGCGAGCCTTTCCTCTTAGTTTAGCTGTGTCCAACCTCTAAAGCCTCAAGCATACATTTTTTCTTCCCTTATGCATTTTTTACTCAAGGGATGCCAAACACCCAGGTTTCAGAAGTTCAATTTATAAAAAAATTAAATGTCCAAACATTTGCATCCTCTTGGATGGTAATGGACATGACTGGGTGACAGGAAAGGCCAGTGTGTCCAGGAGCAGATTTTTAAATCTTTTATTTTGTCACCTTTCCATATAATACAAATTCCTTCCTATTAACTCCACTGTTTCTTCCCTTTCCAGTTCCAAACTCTTTATCCTAATGACCTTCTATAACTCCTTTCAGTCTCTTCTTCCAGCAGAAAGTAATCCAAGTTGATTCTCCACGAACAGCATCCAGCTCTTTTATGTAACACCACTTAAGGATTTAATTCTGAAGCAATCAGATCTTAAGTAAATATTCTGCTCCTCCTTGTTTGAGGCATAACATTTAATATTCAAGACAAAGCTCATAAAACAGACATGGGATTAGATTTTTTGTGGATGAAAGGTAACATGTAACTTCATTTTATTTTACATATGTTGTAAAAGGAAAAAAACGTACAATCCTATACTGTATAACCCTACTTCACCATTTACCACCTTTGTGAGTGTTTAATACTGATCTAGTGTCTTTGTTTAAAGAAGTACAATGTTTAGGTCTAGAGAGCAGAAGAGTAAAGGTTGTGGGTCAAGGGGCTGAAGAGGGGCTTGGAATTTCAACAGGTTTAGCCACTATTTTTTTTAATATGGTACAAATATGAACTAATTATTTCAATTAAACTAGTAATTCAAAGCAACAAGCTGCTATCCTCTAGTAACAGCAGCTGTTAAAAGAGAAAGATTTGTTGTTTGCATTTGCACACAACCAGACAGTACTTCTATTACAGCACAAAACACCCTTCAGGAAAACAGTAAAGATTAGTTCAAAGACTTATATCAATACCTTTTATGACTTGGCAAAAAAAAAAAATCCATTCCTTCCAAACATCAGTCTTTGCAGACCTTGCTCAGTGACAAAGTCTTGGCCATTACACATTTTTCTTGATTTTTAACCAACAGGGGACAAAGTACAAAGAATAGTGATCTGACTTCTGCTGGTTTTCCTTCATTCTTCTACTCTATATATTTTTCCAGTACTCAATAATGGAAAAAATAGAATGACTGGTCTTTAAAACAGATATTATGGGTCATTTCCCTAACTGGAAGCAACACTTTCAACTGTCAAGATACTGATCAGTGCTGAAGTCATTTCTCTTTGCACAGTTTATCACAGATTAAAGTCATGATTGGTTTTTCCTTTGTAATATATCCAGAATAATGTACTCTCTCAAACAAGACAACTTCTTATGATTCTAAAAAGCCCAAATGAAGTCATAAATGCATTTGCACATAACTTCCCCCCTCCCAAGAAGAAATGAAGCTTTTGCAAGGAAACAGACCTTTTGAGGACTCAAATAGAGAATTTACTCCAAGGAAATAACATGAAATACTAACAAGTTAATACAAGCAAACAGTTTTGTGTTGTTTCATTTTGCAGCATTTTAGAAAGCTGTCATCAAAATATATTGTAAGTTGCAAGTGATACTACCTCTCAGTTCTGCAAAACTGATCAGCAATGTAATAGCTCTTACAGAAGAGCACCTGTGACTAATCCAGCTAGCACTAATTAAGTGATCTTTGACCTACTAAGGTAGGTTAGCATAACATATACAGCTTAATTATTCATACATTACTACTTGATACAAGTTGTACTGGACCTTGCCCCTATTGTCTGACAGCAGAAATGTAGGTGAAAGTTGCCTCCTTTCCTTCCCCCTTCCATATACAATTAATACACACAATATGAAAATTCTGTGTCAGATAAATTTTTTGTTACACATTCAAAAACATCTGACTTGCTAAAAGAAGATTTTTTTAATTAATTTTTTTTAAAATTTCTATGTTGTCTTACTTTTCAACTTTGGCCGGCGTGATACTGAACTATCGCTGACATTTCAGAAAAACTTAAAAAGGAAAGCACACAAAATAAAACAAAAAACAGTTATTCCAGGAAAACTTGATACAACAGCATATGTTATTCTGAACATGAAGTATGTATAAGCATAAATACTTAAGTGTGTATTCTTAAATAAACTATGCAAGGAACGAAGAAGTTTGCAGGTAAAGTTTATAGTTGCACTACAAAACTTCCATGTTTCACTCGATTGTTAAGGCCATCGATTTGCTGTTTATATTCAAGTCTGTAACATTCACCTTTGCCCTTAGGAATCTTCCAGAATTCAAGAAGCTGAAATTCATCTCACTCTAACATGACAACATTTTTTAACAAAGGAATTCACACATATAAAACTACACCACCACTATTCTTCACACACTTTATTCAGTTAACCACAAGCAGCAGACAGTCTGGAAGAAGACTGGTAGTGTATCTAGACTGCCAAGTGAAATTCTTCTCCATAGGAATAAGTAAACAAATTTAGGACAGCCATACCCTCCCAACATCTCTCTATTCCCAAAGAGAGAGAGAGAAACACAACACAGAAATTAGAAGGTACACTGGGCCCTGGAGGTTTTTATCATTACTGCACAAAGGTTTACCACTTGTTATTATATATGTCAGCATCATATACCAGGACAAGTACGCTGGAATATGTAAAGATTTGGCACAATGACAATTCTTTCCAGAAGTACACTATAATTTACATTAGGAACAAAGCATTAAGAAATTAATGATACATGAACTAATGAGACTAAAGGAGGATGAGGCAACGGTAATAACTGGATGCTTTTGTCGAAGCTGGTGGCATAGGCAATGTAGCTTACCTACTGCCTAGTCTTGATAGGTAGCATTCTGTGAGGCTCCTGGCAAGGTTTGCCTCACAGGGAAACATGGAGAAAAGAATGAAGACCAGTGGGCAAAAATCATTCTCAAAAACAGCCTTCAAGCAGCAGCACAACTGAATGTTGTATGTTGAGTTTGGATTCTGTGGCCACAATACAGTACCAGTAGTAAGACCTTAGCTGCAGAAGGACTCAAAAGTGTAAAGCAACACATACACACAAGGGGAACAATCAAGTTTGCAAGTATAGTACTTATTTAACAACTGTATTTCTAATAGATTTGAGAATGAAAAATGGCTTGCGAGAGGAAGACTAAAGTAGTAAAGGATGAGGTACCAGAAAGACTGCAGTACAGCTGGAGGAAGTCAGGCTCTAACTCCTCTGTTCAACTGCTGAATTAGCTGGAACATAATTCTGAAGTTATCTCTACTTTCCAATTCTCACTAATCTTGTAATAGTGATTGGTCCATCTAATATATATGAATGCCTTACTGTACCTAGCAAAATCAAAGATCTGTACAGGAAATATTCCAAATATAGACTTAATCGTTAAAGCTAACGCTCCCTTTCAATACATTGACCCTCAACCTAACAGATGCATTGCCATTGTCAAGTCCTGCAGACCAACCTCAGATCTGCAAGCAAAACAGTTTATGGGGACAACCCAGGACTCACATTCTATTTATTTCTAGGGATAGGGAGATTAGTCTGGACAAGATCTAGCCTGCTCCTATCAACTGAATGCTACTAGCAGTGGGAACATACTAAATGCATTTCAAAACTATGCTGGACTTGCACCTACATTTGAAGATGTGCTCCAATCTGAATGGAATCTAGTTTATCTGCTCCAAGATCTCTTCTCAATAAAGGCAAGGCGAGGTAAGCGTGGACAATTAGGAGATCCACTTTAAAAAAATACTCTTTATCTGAATTTAAATGTAGATGCTCCCAGAACATCTGCATAGTCTTTCTTACAAACACCATTATATAAGATATTAAGTATGAAAATCTTGTACTACAGTGTCAGTAACTCTTTCAGCTCAGCATTTTTATACAGCTTCTATACAGCTCTTCTTCTTACAATGGTATTTCACTAAATTAAGCAGAGATACCTAAAAAATATCATACCTCCCTCTAAATCTGATGGAAGAGCAACTCTCAGCAATAGCTTGGGATCTTGTTGGTTTTACTCTCATGCAAACAATGTAAAGTAACAAATGCATGAGATGTCAGCACCATATCAATTTCTGATGTGTTAAATGACAAAATTACCTAACTTCATGAAGCTCTTAAAGATATCATGTGTATGAAAGGAACTGGGTAAAATAAAACTGGATTGTTGCTTAATCACAGGTATGTTGTTACTTAAGTCTATTGAGTAAGTCCATTTCACTGTCAAAAGCTAGCACCAGGATAAGTTTGTTGTGACTACACAATAGCTAACTGTACTACTGTCACATCCTGGGTCTTTAGCATACGGTCAATAATCTACAGCCACAAATATGCTAAAATCAGAGGAAGATTGAATCTGAGGTATATTCTTCATCTGCCACACCTTATGGTACCCAAGTGCTTCACAGGAGACTACCGAGTACACGCCCTAGCACATGCAGATCCTCACAGGCAACATAACTACATGCTACCTCTTTGAAATCCTTATCCCTGTACCTTACTGCCACACAGCAGCACTGAGACCACAGCTGGGGTCCATTATTTGCCTATACAGATAGGGCGTCCTAGGACAGCCCTAGAGTCAGCAGTTCAGCCAGGAAAACGGAGAAAACTCATAGAATTTGCGCAAGGAGGTGGCGGTGGTTGGATACGGTCAAGGGAGGCACGGACGGCGCCTCAAGGAGGGCGGGAGAGGGCAGCAGCCTGACCCCTCTCCGCAGGAGCCACCTCCCCGGCCCGAGGGAGTCGGCAGGACCCGGGCTGCCCCTCCGCCGGGCCGGGAGCCGGCTCCCACAGCAGCTCCCGCCTGCCGCGGCCTCCCGGCCCTCGCCCTACGACTCGCCCCGCCGCCCCTCCCGCCCCGGGCCTGGCCCCCCGGCCCCGCCGCTCGCTTCCCCCGGCCCTGCCCGCCTCACCCGTGCTGGGCCGCCGCCCGCCGCTTGTTGAGCAGGCAGAGGAGGGCGCAGGCGGCGGCGGTGGCCCCGGCGATGGCGGAGTGGCGCACGGTGAGGTACTTGCTGTAGGCGGCCATGGTGCGAGTGCAGCCGCGGAGCCCAGCCGAGCCGAGCGGAGCCGAGGCCAGCCGAGCGGGCGCGGGGAATGCCGGGAGCGGAGGGAGGGGAGGAGGCGGGGTCCCCCCGGCCGCGCCTCCGCCGGCCTGGACGGCCCCGCGCCGGGCTGCGCCGGGGGAGCGACGGGGCGGGCTGGTTGTGCAAGGCGGACAGCGGTAATTAATGCTCCTTCCCCATCTCCCACGCCGGCGGGGAGCGGGTGAAAGGGAAGAGGCGTCTCCTCCTGCGCCAGGGGGGCTGGGCCTGCCGCCGGCTGTCCTGGCCCGGAGGTCGGGCTGAGGAGCGCCGCGGCCGGGCCTACCCCTGCGGTGCCTCGGCCTCCGTCTTCATTTTCCCTGTTGTTTTTGGCCTCCGTCTTCATTTTCCCTGTTGTCCTCGGCCTGGCAGCTCCTGCCGTGTGGGGTTCCGGGCACTCCCTTTCACGGGGGTTCTTTGTGCAGGTGTACAGTGGGATTTCTGAGTGTGAATTACAGATGCTATATAAATGTGGGGGCAACGCGAAATATACCTCTTAGAGACACTTCAAGACATACTATCTTTATTTTTTTAGGGCCCTGAGAGGAGCTGCCAAGATTGCCTTTCAGACAGAGGGTGGAATGAGTTGTCACCAGTTTTAAATGCAGGAAAACAATCCCTATCGCGGGCAGAGCCGCACCAGGTACAGTGGGAGATACCAGCCAGCCTCCTCCTACTGAACCAGTTATACTTGCACAGGTGCTTTTTCCAGCAGTTAATAACAGTTCTCCAAGTTGAGCTATACCAGCAAAAACACCCATGCCAGCATAACTGTATTCACACTGGATCATCCCCTGTGGTCATACCCCTCAGAAAGACACCTCATACTGTATACAAAGTGGCTGTACTTTCTACAGGAACTGACCAGTTGTATATTTAAAGCCTGTATTGGTGCAATGGTTAACACTGAAATGACAAAACAATTTCTCTGGTCAAACTCAAATTCAGATCAAAATGCGGTTGGAATCAATGTATCTATTTTTAATCTAAAAAAGTTTTTCATACAGGCTTTTAGAAACATTTGAATACCTTTGAATGTTGTGCATTTGCTATTGTAATATGAGAGCGTGCACATAGGTCAGTCCATTTACTGAATGTTCCTATTTCTTTCAAATAAGTTTGTCTGATGTAAAAGGGATGAAGCTGCAGTTTGATGAGAGGTAATCTCTGTTTCTTCATTGTGAATCACCACATATACTTTTCTTTCTCGCTCCCTCTCCCCACCCTTGGTATCATCAGGCATTTTGGGACAAGCTTATGTTTTGCTGTAAAAACTGGAATCTCAAAACATCAAATTGTTCACATTTTCTAGAGCACTAGAGTCAGGACTACTGAGTCTGGTTCTCTGGTACTTGTTATGTGACCTTGGACAAATCAGTAACCTCCCTGCTGTATGTTGGTATTTTGCAGAAAAAAAATCATAAAGTATTTAAAGTGTTCCTGACCCTTAGGAAAATACATAGCAGAACCACGCAGCATTAATAAATTCATCTTGTTTTATAGGATTAATGTTTTGTTAAAATATCTTGTTTTTAAAATCTTAGATACTTTGGCAGTAGGTAAATCTGAGAACCTGAAAAGAGGTAGTTTCTTCATCAAAGTAAACTTCTTATATTCAAGTCATTACAATAATGGTTTTCAGGCTTACTGGGTCTTTAAAATACAGTTTTGCTGCTACTTTTAATCTCAGTATCTGTGCAGAGATCAAGACCACTATGATATTGCTAGTCATTTCTTTAAAAGTCGTCTTCCATTTGAAGCTTAGGTTGGTTGTACCCTTGCACAGAACTAGCTATCTAATATAGCCTAACTTTATTTACAATGTCCATCCATTTGGGCCGTGCTGACCTTTGTTGTTTGCATGACTGCATGTCTTGTGCTCTGCTATGTTTGCATTCTGCAGTGTCCATCCTTATCTCACTTTTTGAGGCTAGCCAATACCACGTCCTATTACATATTTTGTTTATCTTCTAACTTGTCTTTAAATAATTTCACATACACCTGTCATCTTCTAAGAAACGTGTCTCACACCTCACACAGTCTTCCACCGTTCTTTACTGCCTACACTCTTGAATGTTGCTTTTTTTCAGAATAACTTTATTAGCATGATTGATAAACGGGCACTTAGTTCAAAACATGAGGTTTTTATTGATCCGTTATTTCACCAGTTTCCAACAACACTCATGACTAAGCGTATCCTTGATGAAATCACCCAAGCTGATCAAATGCTTTAGTGACAAAAGCTCATGTCCAGCTTTTCATCCATCAGTAGCCCCAGGTCCTTTTCAGCAGGGATGCTCTCAATCCCTTCATTCCCCAGCCTGTATTAATACCAGGGGTTGCCCTGACCCAGGGGCAGGACCTTGCACTTGGCCTTGGTGAACCTCATGAGGTTCACACGGGCCCACTTCTTGAGCTTGTCCAGGTCCCTCTGGATGTGTACGTGTAGTTTCTTTGAAGAAGCAAGATCAAATTGACAGTTGTGCTTGTAATGTGGTGCATGGTATATTTCAAACTTTTTACTCCATAGAAAGCAAGCTGTTTAAACTAGAAAGTGCACTCTGGAAGACTGAAGCCTGTAGGAAGAAAAATGCACATTTACTATTAAAGCCTTAAAACCCTATAATGGACATCAGGAGAACTCATAACAGCAAGTGTTAGGCTATGGTCCATCCCGTGTCTGAAGTGTTAAGCAGCAGTATCTGCCTAAATGGTTCGTCAATTTCACAATTATTTTAAAAAAAAAAAAAGTTTGCTTAATAAAAAGCAGTAATAAAATTGCTAACCAGTTCAGATTCTCAAGTCATGTCCTCAGTTAGTCTTGATTTTAGCCAGTTGAGTTTTAAGGAGTGAGTCAAAGTCAGAAATATAAGAAATTGTTATGGAGTGAATATTTTGTCACACTAATCATTCTGTGAGTACATTTATTTTTTTTTAAATAGAGTCTACGTTAACAAATGAGAAGATGCTCTGATTTGGTTTCTCTCAGAACAGGAAGAACCTGTATTATTTGCTGTTGGCACTTGGCATAAAACACCCAACTATATTCTGAGAACAGCATATCATCTAATAATTAAATGAAAAATCGTGTTGTTTATTGTAGGTCCAATGTAACATACATACATATCAGGGAGAGCAATTTACAAATGTTATGAAAGGTGGCAGAATGAGATTAATTTATGTAAATTGAGATAAACTGTAAGATGCAAACTGTACGATGTATGTTAGTTAAGTTTGAAGGTAATTTGTATAGTGCTGGCCTCCATTCTGTAGGCTTGCACTTGCCTAATTTTTAAGTCCATATAATAAGTACTATGATACTTAAAAACTTAATAACTAGTGAAGTGAGGACAGTTTCAGGGATTGATGTGGTCTCTTGTGAAATCTGTGTTATCTCTTAGGAATATCTCTTAGTTGTAGAATTTGGCATGGTTTGCTGGGAAATTAATGAACTGCTCTATTAATGCAGTCATCAGCATTAAGTGATAAGATTTTGTCATTCTACTGAAGTGCTATACAAAAGTATTAGTTTGTTGCTTGATTTTTAACAGAAGGAAATTAAACATCTGAAGTTGAGCTACATTTAATTATGTATCGGTTCATATTAATGTACGAATAATGATATGGACTATTCCCAGTAACAGCCTCATTGATACAGCTAATAGCAGCCAAATGGAAACATTATATATTTAGTCACTTCATAAAACTTGAAACTGGAATGTGGGGGAAGTAATGTGGATGTGGTATCAGCCACTCAAACCCCATAAGCCTCCACCTCCATGAAACATATGCTGATTATAACACAGGTTTGATCTTCAGATCAGGGGTGAAATTGAAATGGATGTAAACTTTCTTTGATCTGCAGAACACAGAGAGAAGACATGCTTCCATTTCTTTGTATCTCCTGTTTTCTCTTCTTGTTCTTGTCCTTTCCTTACACACATCCTGCATGCCCCTCAGATGATTGGGATGTTACAGGAACTTAAGATGTGGAAAGGTACTCTATCTGAGCAGAAAGTAAAATTTGGGAATAATGCGGGGAGAAGAATATAAGGGGTTTATAGAAAAAAAGTGCTTAGAGAGCTTAGGCTGTACAGAACATTGTCTTCTAAATACGTTGATGCTTACAGACTTTCTGTGCCATTACTGCATTACTTCCATACCATATGGGGACAGGAGTACTTGTCCTAATCTTTATTAATTGACAACATAACCCACAAGAGCTTAATTGCTACATGCAAGTCTACTTTCTCCATTTCCTTGATTTCTGACCACATTTTTTGCTCTATACACCTGGCTTTTTTAAATGTGACTGTGATCTATTCTCTATAAAAACAACTCTCACCTCTATTTAATACCTTATGCCTGTGCAAAACATGACAGATCATTTTTAATAAGCACAGCTCATAAATTTAAAAGTCCAGGTGAGAATGTGGGAGTACATAGGAATTACCATTATTAGACTAGTATCAAATACTCTAAAAGACAGTATAGACTCCACACATCTGCTTTCATAATGGGTCTTAGTCTTATTTCAAACATTTATGCACTGACTTAGTTCTAAAATAGTGTTTGACATCCATTCTAATTTTTGTTGTCATTAAGTGTTATAATTACTCATATTCTGCTGGTCCAGAAAATGCACCTAATATTTCAGATGAGAGCAAACCACTGATTTGTAGAAAGCATTACGTTTTATTTTACTTACTGTTTTCATTTGCTTTTCCTGTTTGTTGATTTCTGGTTTTGACTATTTTGGAGAAAGATGTCTTCACTGAGCTGACCATATTGATGCTTAGAATGCACATAGTCCTTTCTTGATTATCAATATTGTTGGACAATCTGTGTGAAATAAATACAGAATTAGATTTTTCCTCCAAAACGCAGTACTCTGCATTTCTTAACAGTGAGTGTCAATTAGCATTTTGTGCTTCACTTGCCTACCTTGTTTGGGCTAGGTGAGTGGGTAGAAAAATGGTAACTGAAACTAAATGAACGAGCTAAACAGGCTTGTTCAGTTTTTTCCTGAAGTG